CTGTTTTATTTTGAAAGGTACATCCCCTTGTTTAAGGCATCTTTCACCCTCCTGTGTGTCACATGTCTGATTTTCTTCCCTGATTGTGTTCCCCTGGGGTTCCCTTCCCTTGTGTTTAAATATTCTGGTCTTTCCTTGTCTGGGGCCAGTGGGTAACCTCATAGTAATCCTTGTCTTCCACTTTGAACCCCATTTATGCCTCTGTTTAGAGCGAGTTTATTTTGGTACTTTGTCCACAGTCTTGTTTATGCTTCCTAAGAGTGATTTGGATTTCATACTCTGTAACTTTTGCCTCCCTCTGTTTAGAGTGAGCTTATTTAGTACTTTGTTCTTAGATTTGTCTGCCTCGTTTTCTATAGGGACTCTTATTTTGGTACTTTGCCTTCTTCCCTACCAGCGAGTGTGCTTTTTGTTCCATTAAAACCTTAAAGATCTCTGCATCTGGGTCCTGTTTGAGTACCATCGTGACACGGTCGAATCGAAAGACACGAAACAAAGCTGCCGTAGTGCTGAGTGGAGGGATCTGGAGTTTGGGGACCTTGGCATTCATCACACACTTACACACACACACACACACACAGTTACACACTCACACACACACACACACACACTGCAGTAGCCCTCCAGCTCAGCCCGCCTTAATTATAACACCTCCAGCTAATCAATAGCAAAGAGGCTAATCCTATTTCATCCCTTCATATTCATTTATGCCCGTGTCAGATTTAAACAACCGGGGCTGCGACTCCCAGCAAAGAAATAAAAACCCTCCCACACACCACACACACACATTTTTATGCATGTTTGAATGCGCTAAAAGAGCCAGAGGGGAGATTTTTTTCTCCCCCTGCGTGAGGACGGAAAAGGGTATCGATCAGAGGCACAAAATGACAAAGAATGAAGACATAAAGATCCACTGATTGATTAAGAAACTGGAGTCCGACTCATCCCTTTTTCGTGATCATTTACGTTTCTTTGTGTGTTTCAAACACACACACTCACACACACTCTAACAGAGCTCTGCATCTTTAAGGGTGACATGAACAAACTGGGATCTTTTGATGTGAGACTTCTGCATAAATTCTGCCGAAAGCCAAAGACGAGATCCAAGGTTGTCCGTCAAAAAAGCCGAATATAACGAATGCAAAGACCTGTGGGAGAGAACACGGTGAGAGGACCCAAACGCAGACAATCACTGTAAAACGTGGCTAAAAAGGAAGGAACGTGGAGCCTGAGAACAGGTGAACCGGCAGGAGAGACACAGAAGAAGAAGAAAAACCAGGAACAGGACTAACTT